ATCGGGACTGAATTAATATAAAATTGTTTGGGTTTCTGTAAGATAATTTAGTGGACTGATAGAGGTTTTTATGACAATAAGAAAAGAAGGCGCAATTTGAACAAATGAAGAGATTACAAGAATGAAAGAGTATCAATATATTACTTTCGTTCTAATAGGATTGTTAAAGAGAGAAAAATTGTAGAGCATTTTTAATTTCTATAAAAATGTCCACAGTCTACTTATTCGCCTTTCTGTTGTCCCCTGTGTAACAACAATTTTATTTAATTGTCGCAAATTGGTGTGATTAGCCGAACGATTTAAACGCTCTGGGTAAACATATAAATATTAATAAATAATAATAGATATAAATAACCTTGTTGCGAGGGTTAATCATTTTCATAAATTATACATAATACAAAAATATTTATAAATTCCTCTAACATCGTTACACTGCTATTTTTTGTAAAACCTGCATAGAAACCGCAGTCCAACAATTTATTTTTGATGGAAAGTAAACAACAGCCAAATCCCGTGACATCATTATGATATCAGAGATCATGATATCACAATCTAGTCACGAAACGTATAAATAAAACCTGGAAGTGTCCTAAAGGGTAGCAATTTCCTCAACCGCCCCAATTAAAACCATCCATCCGGGTTGCAAAACATAGCCTAAAATCTTGTTTCCGAAGCAAAACCTCCCGGAGGCCGATGAAGACGGTCCAAGGGACGGAGTTAGGTTACCAGAGCGGATCGTGGTAGATCTAACAGACCGATATCCGGTTTTTTCGCGCGCGGGGTGTTTCCGTGGTGCACACGCCACCGCGAGCAGCCGTATTAGTTTTATCAGCTGCGATAGCCGCGGTTGGTCGCGTATCGGCGGCCAGCGTTACACGGTTGTGCAAGCCTCGGGAGAGAGAAAAAGAGAGCCGGGAGAGAGAAAGAAAGAAGGAGAGAGAGAGAAAGAGAGAGAGAGACAGAGAGAGGAGAGGGTTGGATCGTAGCTAGGTTTCGGTGCAACGAGCCGCGAGATCGGCGTCGCTCGGCGACCCTCGGTCGGCCTCGGGCTCTGCTACGCGAAATGCGGCAGGGGTGTGGGAGAATCGGTGGTTCAGTCCGTCAGCGAGCGTTTCGCCCAGCGTAGCGGCCGGTCGTCGCTCCGATCGACCGATCTCGTGCGCCGACACACACCGATCGAGATTAATCGCGCGGGTCCCCGGGCCGAGTGACACTGTGGACGCTGGTGAAGTGCTTCTTCGTCGATCCATCGCTTGGTTCGCCGATTTCGAGGGAGATCGGCCGAGGTTCGCGCGCTGCGATCGGTACAGGACACCGTTCCGATTAATCGAATTAATTGGCGAGGAGCGGATTGCGATTTCGCGCGGCGTCGAGAGGTTGCTGACTACGCTGCTCGCAGATCGTCCGGCTGATATTTAGAACGACGGAGAGGATCGAGGCGATCGATCGAGCGGTTACGGTGCTCCTGGTACCCATTGATTGGGGCCGTGCGCGACGCGAGATGCCGTAAAATAGTCCGAAACCCAGTTACATGTTAAGCAACGCCGCAGTATACGCGGCCGTTGATCGAATAATCGAAACGCGTGCAGTGCGGCAATCCGAATTGTTCGCCGGATCGATTAGAAATTTAATCGCGGGGCTCGATGGATCGAATCTCCTCGATAGCTATCGAGGAAACGTCGGCTATTCTCGTAAATGTATCTCATGTAATTCGTTTTATTTTCCTAAGATTTCTTTCTTGTACCCGATTCGAACGATTGCCATAAAAAAAAGTAGGCGGAAGATATATTGCAAGGGATTTTTTCGAGGGTGGGTCAAGGCAGACCCAGGCACCGCCCTACGAAAAATAACGGAAGAATGGGATTGCGATGCGAATCGTTTCAGATTCCTCGGTTTACGAATTACCGAAATGGTAAAAGTGCTTTCGGACTGGTAATTGAGTAATCTTGTTCAATTAATTAAGCGCGAGTGGTTTCGACAGTTCGGGGGTTCTCTAGTGCTAAACTTGGCCCGATCGTGTTCGAACAAATTGATAACCTCCTTTCGCGGGCCGTTAAGCCATCTTTAGTTTCTTGGCAAACGCAAACCGTACGAACCAGCCGGGAGGCAATTAGGACAAATTAATTATACCGTTTCGAAAGTCCTGCGAAATTCATAGATCGTGCAAGCTCCAACACACACACCCTACGGAATCACGAGGCACTAATCTGAAAAACTTATTAACCTACATGCATGAAGCTGCAATAAGTAATCTCTGCATAGTCAAGCAATACATGCCACAAAGAGGACAGCAGAACACGCTCGAAACTGTAGCATGCCCTAAAAAGCTCTAACAAAATTGCCCTCCTTAGTTAAATCGTCTTATCTAACGTTTCTGGTCAGCCAAGAAACGAAGCTTGAAATTAATAAAAATCAATTTCAAATAAATGAAAACGAATAAATGGAATTACATTACATATACTTCGTAAAGTATATAGAATATTCTAATTTTGTTGAAAAAGGTAAAAAGCTCAAGTGATGTTCCAAATATTTCAAAATATTCTGAAAAGTCGCAAATTAGCGGATAAGACATTTTAACGCTTTGACGGCCGCGACAAGTACCTGAAAAATTTCATAAAATTAAAGTATCATATGAAATTAAATTAAAATTGCAAAGTAAAGTTATACGACGTCAATTACTTTTTTAACATTCTTATCTCTTGCGAATCTTAATAAAATGAAGAAATTATAATGGATTGGCATACAAATTAAATTTTACATAATTCTGTCACCCACATGGGTGACGCGTCAAAGCGTTAACATAGTAATTATCATACACTTGTTTAATAACGCACTTATGGTGTACTTTATTACCAATACAAATCGGATAAATTTTGCCAACAATATCATTATGATACATTGTTTAAAAAACAACGCTGAATCGATTTTGCTCGGTCTCCCAGGGGACGCGAATTTCGCCTAATCTCGGCGTGTGATCGGATCGCGATCGAGTGCCCTCCTGGAGCAAAGGGAGCGTGACGCTGCCCTTATTGTTAGTCATAGGTCAGAGTGCGCGGAGTAGTCATAGCTGGGTGCACCCTTTCCACCGGGTATCGAAACGCAGATCGTTTATCACGGGCACATCGCGATGCAGTTCGCGATCGATATCGCGTGTCTCGCGCCACTATTTTTCTCCGTAGATCGCGGGTGGATCTGGATTGGCATGGCGGCGGCAGGAATTGGCGCAGGTCCGCGTTTATGTAGGGCGCGGGGAAGACTGGCCCGACCTCGTGAACACAATCGATGCAAAAGCAATTACGTTCCCGGCTACGTAAATCGCGCTGCGGCTCGCGTTATCTACTGCGCGCCCCGTGGATTCCATGGGGGTAGCTCGCCACCCAACCTATCTCCTGCGAACGGAACCGCGGGTCTTCTCAGACACGACCATAATGGGGTAGGATCTCCTCCTGATTGAGCCGTATCGATAACCGGAACGCGATCCTTCTTTTTCTCGGCGAGCTCGTTTCGCCCGATGACGAACAGACACAATTTATCGGTATCATTGATTCTCGGGGGTGGGTGGCGAACTTCTTGGTCGCTCAGAGGGATCTGAATGTTTCAGGGAATATTCCTTGACTGTCGGATAGCTTTCTCTGCTGGACAACGTGGCTGGGAGAAGGGGTAGAGACGCTTCAGGGTGTGATACATTGGGATAGTTAAATATATATAGTTAAATAAATTAATAGTTGTTAAATAGATCGTACACTTCTGAAAGTTGGCTTAACCAGAGCGTGAAGGAATCAGCTCTGAGAAAATGATTCATTTATTGGATTCACATTGCTATCGCGGTCTACGTCGTACATCGGACAGAGGCTTCTACCAATTAATATTGCGCGCTGAGATCAGAATTGGGCATTATACGAATAACATTTGATTCGAATAAGCTTTCGAATAAATTCTTCGAATGAAGTTTGATACGAACAAATTCTTCGAATAAAATTCTATTCGAATTTCTTATCCAAATAAATTCTTCGAACAAATTTTTATTCAAATAAAATTATTCGAATAAAATTTTATACGATTAGTGTTTCAAATAAATGAGAGAGAGAGAGAGAGAGAGAGAGAGAGAGCCAGCTATATATACCAAAGAAATATTTTCCTAAAGGACAATTACATGCATCTTGACAAAGTTTATTCGCCTATCTATAATAATTTCGTAGAAACAAAATTCCTAAATTCTACTTTATATCGCAAGAAAGTTTCATTGTAATAAGTGATATTTTTGTCGGAACTTGAACCGTGATTCGCTTTATTCTGCGAACATAAGTGGCCCAATTTCGCGGACAGTGTACGAGGGGTTAATTAGGCGATGCCATCCGTCGGCCGTTAACAGCGCAGCCAGCTAATGAAACCGGGTCGTTAACGTTATTCGCTGATCGCCGGCGCGCTCACCTTAACCGGTGACAATTTACATTAGCTAATGGGCCGATTCGCAGGTCCCGCACGGTGACGTATCAACTTCGCGGGGACCACGGCGGCCCGCGTTGCGTAAATTTTCGAGGTCCCGGCCTCTGCAACGGGAACCGGCCTCGAGACGGTAAATCATTCGCTAACGAGATCGATTCGCGAACAGACACGCTCGAATCTAGGAAACTGCGATCGTCCTCTTTATCGTCGCTCAGTCGCCTTCGGAGATCGATCGATTTCCGCAATAATGGCGCTTCAATGCTGCGACGATTGCTCCCTTGCCGCTTGTCGGTGCTCCCTTTGTCGCAGGTGGGTGGATCGTAAAGCCTGGGAACCGTTTCGGGGCGATACAGGCTGGCCCAGTTGCGAAAAAGTGTCAATGGGTTCCCTTTGTCCGAAAAGATTGCCGTGAAATCAGCGATGGAAGTATTTTTATGCTCGGTTCTTTCTCTAGAAAATTGATTCTATAAAGTAAACGGGAGCATGTAATACAAAGTAAAAAAAAATATTGCAAGAAAATAGTAAAGGGAAAGCCGAAATAGTGAATTCGAATATATTTTTCATTATGCTTTCATATATTCTAATCATTTTCCAATGCCGCTAATTATTAAAATTCCAAACAAATTGAACGCAATCGTAGCAAAATCTCTGTGAACGCGTTTACAAAAACTGTTTGAAAACCGTGAACATATTCTCTCACTTCTAAAACGCTACTTTTCGGATTTAAAAATGTTGAACACATCGTTCGCAATTTTTGCACTACATTATTTATTACACCGTTTCGATGTTCCCCGTAAAAGCAGCGAATTGATAAATGACGGGATGTTTGGGATGTTTCATTTGATTGAATTGTGTCGGGAACAAAAGCGCCGCGGCGAGAAATTGTCTAGCGCATTTTTGACCGAGGTGTCACGAGGTCGATGGTTGCGCCACGATTGTTGCTGCAGCCCGCGTTAAATATTAATAAGCTACGTCCCGCCTAAGCCCCGGGAGAATACATATTTGTCTCTCCCGATGCAGAACTTCGTTCCGTTTCCTGCGGAAAGTTTCGTGCCGTCGCAGCGGAACTCCGGCCGGTCATTAAGCCATTACTTATTACGCTCATTTGCCGTTGACTCGTTTTACGGTGTTTCTATTAAGAATTCTCGCTTGGCGCAGCGCGATTACTGCGCTTCGAATACGTTTGAATATTAATGGGCCGATGAGTTTCACGGAACATTAACGTTCTCTTATCAACATCGATTTGTTACGGAACAGAAAAACACAGGTAAACGACGCGTACAGCAGAGCCCCGTCGCTTTGTTCCCATTTAAAAATCACTGGCCTGGAGAACATGCTAGCGCATCCGCGCGCTTAGGCGCTTCTTCCCCTCCTTTACACCGCTCCAAGTTTCCTGGCTCTCCTCCAAAAAGCTGCTCGACCATGGCAGTCCGTGCTTCCCGGGAACAATGCGATTCATTTAATTTCCATTAAACCCGATGTCTCGCGCTCGCCGAGGTCCAACGGCGGCGGCGCGTCGCACAGTGGTCGATTCCTTCTAAAAAAGAAAAAAAACGGACAAAAATCATTGCCGCTTGAAAACTTGCTTATCGACAGGCAACGAAACGAATCATTTCTTTCCAGCAATGGCATAACGTCGTCATTGATTTCTGCTTCTGTTTTATTGCTAAACCCATGGGGCTTGCTATTAGAAGCATGCTGATTTTAATAGAAGAGAGACATGATTTTTTTCAGTTATTAATCAGAATGAAGATTTAAAAGCTACCAATTATATTAGACAATAATGAAACGAATTACATATCAATTTTTTATCGCGGTTTCTTGCAAATTTCTTGTTTTCATTTGAATCCCATTTTCTGAGAAAATCGACCACTGGGCGTCGCGACGTTCTCCACCCCAGTGTCACCCTGTCTGGCCAAAGGAGCGCCGATACTACTAGGAGGCCACCGGGCCAAAAGCAAATGAAAAACAATGACTTTAATCGCCTCGTTGGCTCGAATTCGGTCATCCTCGATTCATCGCCCGTCTAGAACCAGCTTCCGTGACGGGAATCGCTAAAGCATCTTCTGAAATCGCCGTTTCGTTTTACTCCACCCACGCCATTGTTCTCTCGGAAATAGAGCTTGTTCAGGAACCCATAGAACTCCGGATTTTTACAGCTTCCTCAAGCACGTTCGTACGATTAAACTACGGTTAGATAATTAACGCGTTGTCTGCCACGTCAACCGCTGAAAATGAATTCACTGGTAGATCGTATCCACCTTCGAGTTGATCCTTTTGTAAATCGTACTCAGCTTTTTGTAAATGAAATTATCCTTTTCGCGGGTTTTATTCGTCCTTTTGCAAAGAAAATTAATCTTCTATTCAATTTTTATATCTAATATGGATCTTAATAATTATTTGTACAATAATATACATAGCTTTTATTACACAAATAATTAATCTTCATTAAATACTTATTTATATTAATTCAATAATTATCGCGAAAAAGTCTCGTTCAATTTTCAAATTTAACGAGAAGTTTAGTACAAGCAATTGCGAATAAGTGAATTTAGTTTGCAAAAGAATGAAATCAATTGTCCTCGTTGGTAACTGTTACAACCAACTCCTAAACAATTTCCAAATATAACTATTATTTATAGCTAAAACTATATGAATCGGTTCTTAATTGTTGCGTCTTTTGAATGCAAAAGATTTGGTTGCAAAATGTTCACAGGTTTGCCTAAGAAAAACTCTTGGTAAAGTTAGTGGACGGAACGAGGGTTCCTTGCAAGCGTTCAGCGGATCTTATTTGCCCCTCTGTTTTCCGAAGCTAAACTCCGTCCCATTGATCTACAGATTAGCGACAATGTGTTGTGTGCTTGTCAATAGCCGGCTGCAAACACCGTACAATGTTTACCGCGTGTTGCCGAGCGACACATCGCGGTCGTTGGCTGATCGGACACATTACACGCGTTTATGTCTAATACTCTGCATGACCGTGCCTTGCTGACCAACGGGAATCGGATAAACATACCTGCTTCTAGCATGTTGGCCAGTGCCAAAGTCACCGGTGCTTGCTTGTCGAACCGAATCCTCCCCTTTGGCACCGGTCAACCCTTAATTCCCAAAGCGCGACTATTTTCGAGTTCAGTCATTAGTACATCGAGTCTGGACGTTAGATTGTTATTTGATAAATGCAAGTGGTTGTATGCATTACCAAATATCCCATTACTGTAAAAATAGATAATGTATTCAATGTGAAAAAATGTGGCTTTGCAATAGTTCTCTGGAAAAATCAGTTAGTGCACCTTGATATTCAGGAATCTTAAATTCTTTAAATTTCTAGGATAGTTAAATGTCAGATTTGAGTAAAAATATGTGAACAAAGTGTTACAAATAATTAACGGTATTTCCTTTGTTTGTATGAAATAGTATTTCAAGATTTATTCGACGTCGTTGAGATAAGCGCATGTATTTAAAATAGTTATTTATGTTGGGGTATAGATGATGATTAATATAATGGCATTTCATGTGCCTCAATTTCTAGTAATTATTCGAAATTCGATTTCTCGCTATTAATATTCATGGGAGAAAATAAGCCTATAGGAAAAATACAAGCACCTATTGCTTTGGAACATACTATAAGCTTTTTCTTATATCTCTCTTAATTAATTGTAAAATATATATTTCAAACACTTATCATATATTTGTAAAAATCAATCAGGTATCTCAACTAGTATTTTATTGAATACAAAAATAAGTTACTATTTCAAAGGAAGCATATGTAACACAGTAGCAACAATATTTGCAAATATTTGTATTTCTTAGTCAAGAAAATAATTTCTTCCAAGATCCATCTATTTTTTCGAGTAAACGGAAATTGCGGCAGATTTGCAATCGTAAAAGCCTCGGAATCGAGCTGTAGCAACTTGAAATTAGGCCGTCCATTTGATAAACCGTTCGATCCCCCGGCATTTCAAGAAATTTCGCAAGAATCCGCCTTGACCGAGCATCTGGAAATTAGCTGGAAGCCGTCGAAGTAGTCGAACGGTTAATTCCGCTCGTTCGGCGGGATGAATCGGCTCTGCACGTACGTCATCCGCGATTCTCCGTTCGAGGAGAACTCTGGGGAACTCTGGGTAGATTCCTTGCATCGGCTGTTTACTTTCCACTCGGGCTGGCGTGGTTCTCGGCAGCACAATCCTGAATTATCCTTCCGCGGAACGGTCTCTCGAGCGTGGCGTGTTCGCGGTATCATTAGCGCGCGCGTAGACCTTCGGCTCGCGTGCACAGTGCACAGACCGCCGCCAGACGTTATCCTACTTGCCCGATTCTTTGTTTCCCGCCTTACATATTCATTCACGGTATTAGCGTAATCACCGGCTGCTGCCGCGGGTGCTGGTGCCTCCGTTCATCATTCCCGCGCTTTCCCCCTTTTCAATTTCCAGCCGAGCTCCGATTTCGTCTCGTTCCGTCTTGTTTCGTTTCGTTTCGTTTCGTTCCGACTTGTTTCGTTTCGTTTCGCGTTCCCCACTCTTTGTCCGACCGCGGCGGAAAAATCGCCGGGCCGCATTCCCGAGCAACGATTTCAGGGATCGGTAACAAGTTTAACGAACTGCTGCCGTTCCTCGCGAAACCCGTCCCTTCCGCGTTCCTGCCGTTCCGACGGCTCTTCACCGCCGTGCTCCGAGAAAAACACCCCCCCGTTTCCCTGGAATTAAGCGATCCGCTGGAAACGACATCGTTCCGACAAATGAGCTCTGCATGCTGCCGGTGACTCTCTCCACTTCGGCAGACGTTAACGCGTTAACAACCGCCGACGAGTGCTCGCCGCGCGGTTTATGCGCACCACTTTTTTTTCTCTTCCTGTTCGATGTCCTTGCGTGCTAAAGCAGTTTCGGTTTTTTAAACAGATCACGCGAACGGGGTAGGTGAGATTTAATGGAAACGCATTGTTCTCGATTCGCTGAAATGGATCGAACAACGAAGAAAGTTCTGTTCGACTCTTGTCGAAGTCTGTTCGACTAAGCAATTGTTCGCGCAAACGTGCAACCGTTGCATTTTTATTTCGCATAAAGATTCGCGGGCTGGTTATTCTATTCTGCGATGTATTTTATGCTTCTCAATTCTTCCCCTAATCCTGGAGAAAAAGAAGACCGTAAATCTGTGCGCAAGACGAAAGTTTCTTAAATTAATAGCGAGACGTTAAATGAAATTATACTTCAACGTTCCACTGGAAACTGACTAGAATTCTCGCGCTCGATGAGAGTCAAACTATGTTCTGACATATTATTCTTGATCTTTATCGAATTACAGGTGATTCCGCAGACAGTTTTACAACTTCTTAGTTCGTTGAGAACGAAGCGCGAATGTTCTCCAGTTAATCAACCAAGAATGAGCAAGAAACTTGCTCGGTCCGGTTTCTTATATATTCGTTTACGGTCACTGTAATAAACACCGAAGAGTTTTGCACGGTTAATGGAAACGATAGTCGATCCTCAACTATTATCGCCGGTCTGTGAAATCGTTCTGCCTGTTACATTAGAAACGGCAGAAAAATGACGAATAGAATGAATCCGTAAATAGCTTGAAAAGTATGCTAAAATAATTCATAGATAAAACTGCAGCTATTCTAGAATCCGAATACACGCACAGTAATCTTGTACACGAAACATGCACCGGCAGTCGAGATATTGTCCTGTAGATAGAATAAAAATGAAGACGAGAAATCACCGCGTGTTCACAAAAGCTCGACAAACTTGTCTCTCGGATACAAAATCTTGTCTAATGGTGGTTGCAGTAAAACCGGGAGAGGAGCTCGTTCCTTAACATGTAAATTAATATCGCCGTGGCCTTCGAGCTTCGTCGAACGGTAATGAACGCGGAGACGGACGTTTAACGGCGCGGCGTTACAAAGCGTCAAGAGGCGTGCACGGAGCGTTTTCGCCGCGAAACGAAAACGTATAAAAGGACCGAGAAAGAGAGGAGACGGAGGAGGGAAAAGAAAGAAACGCACAAGTCGTAAACGCGGGGATAAGAGGATCGTATCGACACGCCGCGAGCAACGGGGACGTCGAACGCGTTTCTGTACTCACCGGCGCGGACTTTATTGCCCTGGGATTGCCAGCCCGAATCCCGGCCCGCGCCGACAAAGTTAACAGACGGATGAAAAGCCTCGGGCTCGGAAAAAGTCGGCGTATTTTCGATGCGGACATGTCGGTGTCGCCGTATCTATTAGGCTAATCCGGAGATAAACTATCGGTCGAACCCATCTGCTGCTTTATAGGGTTCTGCCGCGACAAAAGAGCTATTTGGCCATTTTTTCCCCGCGGAAACTGCGAGTCCTCGTTGAACAAGAGGTACCGTGTTCGAAGGGGCACACTTCGAAGAGTGTCCCGTAATTTTTTGGTTGCGAAATGTTGATCTGTTACGAAGTTATGGTCGATCTCTTGGAGGTCCTGCCAGAAAAGGCGATCTTTTGAATGTTTCGAGTGCTGGTTCGTCTGACACTGAAAATTCGACTGAGATTGGTTTAAGATACTATTTTACGTAGCC